ACCCACACTCCCCAGGAGGACGACAAAGAGGCTCCTCTGATCACCGAGGCCAGTGACCCCAGCATTATGCTGTTCTACTTCCGCGACAAGCCCATCTTTGGTGGGAGCAAGAGGAAGGTGAGGGGATAGATAGATGGAGAGATGGATAGATAGATAGATAGATGGATAGGTGGATAGATAGATAGATGGATGGGCTGGTAGAAGGTAGGTAGATAGATAGATAGATAGATAGATAGATTGATAGATAGATAGATAGATAGATACTATAAGTGGGATAGATAGATAGATAGATAGATAGATAGATAGATAGATAGATAGATAGATAGATAGATGGGCTGGTAGAAGGTAGGTAGGTAGATAGATATATAGATAGATAGATAGATACTATAAGCGGGATAGATAGACAGACTGGTAGATAGATAAATAGTTCCATAGATGGGTTGATAAGTAATGAATGGATCTGATAGATAGACGGATAGATGCATAGATAGATACGCAGATAGATGTATAGATAGGTAGATAGACCGATAGATGCATAGATAGTGAGACAGATAGATAGACAGCTACTTAGATAGATTCACTCATTGCTTAAATATATGACCGCAGCCATAATCCTAGGGCATTGACAGTCAATGTTTGATTATTATTGAACTGCTTGACATTTCTGGATAGACACCTCGCGACCTCAGTGCTTTCTTGTCCTATCTCCATTTTTAATAACTGTGAAAACAGTTCACAACAAAGAGTGAGCTTAAGAAGACGTCACATTTTCATGGTTTAAAAAAAAACAAAAAATGGAGATACGACAAGAAAGCACTGAGGTCGCGATCTGTAGAGATGATTATTTTCCTTCTATTTTTTAGTAGGCCCTACTGACCAAAATGTTCCCGATATGTTTTTACACCCTTTCCGATGTGTATTTGGTCTTCCCGGTTTCTTTAGCATGTTGCTGTCTGACTCGTCTGACTTGTCCACTGTGTTGGGGTCACTGCAGTCGGAACATGTCCGTCTCTGCTCTCTCTCTCTCTCTCTCTCTCTCTCTCTCTCTCT